TTTAGCCGCACGTCTCTCAAGACGGCTAAACCCGAATGATTCTAGTTCTTGGTCTTGTGTTAATTCTAGTGATAGTGTAAAACTAGAACTAACACTAGACCGAGAACTAGAATCATTCGGATTTAGCCGCACGTCTCTCAAGACGGCTAAACCCGAATGATTCTAGTTCTAGGTCTTGTGTAAGTTCTAATGATAGTGTTAGTGTTAGTTGTAAGAGAGTTTAGTCGTCTTGAGAGACGTGCGGCTAAATCCGAATGATTCTAGTTCTAGGTCTTGTCTTAGTTCTAGTGATAGTGTTAGTGTAATACTAGAACTAACACTAGACCTAGAACTAGAAAGAGTCGGGTTTAGCCGTGCGTCTGAAAACGCACCGGTCTAGTGTTAGTTCTAGTTTTAGTTGTTATTCAGTGCTAGATTGTTGTATATTTTTATTGAATTAAAATTAAAGAAAATTATTTTATTTTAAGTAGTAGAACCACCACCTCGTCGACATGGCTGCCACGGCTTCTAAGTAATCCATATCCATTTTTAATCCAATTAACTTTATTTTGAAAACTAGAACTACTGCCTCAGTAGCACGGCTGCCTAATTACTAAATAATATGTTATTATTGAAAACCTTGAAGTACTACCTCAGCTTCTAAGTAAGGTATTTGTACATAACTCAATTCCCCATATAAATCCGTTATATCGAGTTTTTACTATAATAAAAAATTAAAAAAATGAAAATATATTTGATGATGGTTGATGGATGGTTAGAAACGTGTTTCCTTGCGCTGTGGGTGGAATGCAAGACTAAACACGTCGAGGGATCGACAGGCCACCTACAGCTCGACTACTTAATCTTGGTGACAATGACGAATGGCGGCGATTGGTGCTGTCCGTACGGTCCTGATGCAGGACACGGGACATCCCAAGTTCTGCGTGACTCTTGGCATTTAACAAATCGCGCTGCCGTACGCGGTGATTTATCGTTCTCTACGAGTTTAAAACTTGATTTCGGGAAATCCCCTAGAATCGCATTCCGAAACGGTGAGGCGAATCCGCGTAAACCGTGAAATATCACCCTAAATATTAGGATTTTGGGATTTTTACACCATCATCATTTATCGGATAAAGAAAATCATACGGTTTAAACTATCCAACTGTAACAAATTTGATCACTATCTTATTTCAAAATCCATTTTAAACATAGCGTTCCCAGTAATTGCTTCCCTTTGCTATGTAGATGGCGTAGTTAAAAGAGCGGAAACGAAGTTTCTAGATTTTAAGTGGTTTGTTTTGGCTTTGAAGACGATTTAATAAAATAAATATTGCCTAATTTATCAACTTTTATCTCGGCAATATTTTCCGGTAATTGAAAGCTGATCTCGAATGAAATTAGCGTCAAATTGCATTCTGAAGTGTATCATTATTTCGGCGAATTTTTTTGTACTATTATAATCTCGTTACACGAAATCATCCCCTTAAATCCCATCCATTATCTAAATCTTCCGGGGTGCTAAGAAGCATTTTAGTATTACCGATCGGATTTTCGGGGGTGGTGAAGGCGAAAATGTTTCGTAACCTTCCGTTGCAGGAAACCCAACCGCGTAAGTATTACAAGGAAAAATCTCTCCTTAAAATAGGGTTTACGACCGCGAAATTCATAAGTATAAAATACGGCGGTATACAGCATTTGTCACGGGGCTTTCTTTAGTGCCCCGTGGGGCGCCGTCGTCGTCGCGGGGCTCTCCGCTAGAGGAAGATTTATCGGTAACTACTTGGCAGTAAACTCGGCGCGTTCCGAAATCCCGACCCGCAAGCCACTCTCTCTACCCGGGTGCCCCACACCGAAATCCCGGGCTCGTGTCTAATCATAAACTGGAAGAATTTTCGCGAAGTTAAGGGGGTTAATTTTTATCCGGAGTGTCGCCGCGGACACGACGACAGCGTCCCTCCTCCGCGTCTCTTTCTTCTCGTTGGTAACCCCGTTTGCGTCCTAGTTTATACCGAGGATTACCGGCTCTAACTTACGATGGGATCTTAGGTGTCTGCGGTCTTCTAGACTTGTTTGTTTTAACGCTAAATAGATGTCGGTGGTATGCGAATTTATGTTCTTCGTATCAGAACATTTTTCAAATTATATAAGGTCTTTATCTTTCCCAAGATAATCTTTATTTCAAATTATTTTTATTATATGTAAATGATTAATAATTGAATGATAGATTTCTTTGACATGACATAGGAAAAATTCCAAAATTCTTATTGCAGA